CCTGAATCCTTATAAGCCAGTAAGGGCAAACGATTGAGACAAAAACAAGAAGTGCCAATAGCACAGTGAAGAACATTCGATGCAACTGATATGTGACACTCAGAGATACAGCCATCAGCGCAAAGGAGAATAGCAGATGAAGCCTAAAGTGGTATTTCTTCACACAGAAAGCAATGAGGGGTGCGAAGAGGAAGACTTGCAAGGAGAACAACATAATTGCAAAAACATGCAGCCTTGATGGAAGCCGCGAAGCCACAAGGACAGAGGCTACTATCGATGCATTCAAGGAGATGTTGCTAGTTAACTTTGGATTGTTCAATGCGCCTGGAGGCCTTATCGTTGAACCAGAATAATCATGCAAGAAAAGATGAACCAGCAGAAGAGATACAGCAAGGGCCCATATTGAATCTGAACTGATGGACCTGGTGAGGGTATGATAAATTGGCGCAAGAACATAAAGACCACTTATGAAGAATGATATATTGAGGACATACTTTGTCAGAAGCTTCAGTGAGAATGGACAAGTTGTGAGCAAGAGGACCGAGAACCCAACAAGGAGAAGACCAACATCTAGTTTGAGAAGAGTAGATTCATCAATATCCAAGTTCAGCGTTAGGATCCATGTAGAAACCATAAGAGCGACGATGCAGAGATACTGTGATATGGAGACAGAGTCGATCATCACTTTCAGAAGGTCCCTCTTGACGACATTGGCATTCATAACCTTCTCCTCGAGGAAGGACTCATCGGTGTAGTTATCATCATATCCTGACTGCCTTCCCCCATAGGCAACTTTTCTCCACACTGGTTGTAACCTGATTCGGTTTCCATCGCTGCTCTTCATAATGAATTGCTGTGCTTTATCCCCAGAAGAAACACTGAGCCGTGTAGATTTCATGAACTGTGCTAGTCCTGAAGAGGTCTTCTGTCCTCAAACTTGCATTTCTCCAACATAAATTCTCCACTGCTAAAAAAACGCACACTTATTCACTCCAATTTTCCAACAAAGAAGAAAATTTCGTAGTCAAGTATCAAAGGCACCACACTCAGAATCAGTCGCATATTATCAGGCATGGAAAAAGTACATCCAGTAAATTGAGGCATTGGGTTTCAGTTGATTATTAACAATTTCTTTGTTTGTAAAAAAAAAAACTGCTACAACATTACATTTTATTTGATAGCTCATTCACAGCAAAGAAAGGAAGGACCAACACAAATTAACTCTCAGCAATCAAACCATCTAAATAAAGCTAGGGCTTCTTCACCAAGGAGAGAAGGCATCGGTTCAACTCCAGGTGGATTTCCACCAGTGGCGGACCCGGGCGGCTACAAATCTTGCTAACAGTAAACCAAATGATATAACCGATGTAACAAGGATCACAAAAAAACAATATCAATTCAAAATGCTCAAGCAACATCTAAAACAACTTTGTGGGTAGAAAAATAACAAATAAAGAAGATTTGTTAACCAAAAGGTCAACCATATTAAAATCAATCTGTAGTCCTTTTTGCTCAACCCAGCTCTCTTTAGTTTCAGAACTATTCTTCGGCACATCTTTCTCACTAAACAACTCCACCATCCTATCCTTGCCTCCTACGGAATGCAATGCAACTATAATCAATTATTATAAAAACTAACAATCAAAATTGGATGGATTTAATTTACTCTTGAGTAAATTCCCTCAATGCCACTGGAAATTTCATGGCTTCCCTCAAAGCCATTTGAATTGTTCATTTCGATTCCCTCACTGCCATTCCCGTCTCCCATCGTGTGACAATCAACGGCATGTTCGGTTGGCTGGTTTGTATCGTTGCTGGTTCTTTTAATGTGAGAGAGAAATACTGCTGGCTAGTTCGGTGAAAGAGTACTCATGTGAGGGGGCTGGCCAGCCCAGCCAGTCCCAGCCAGCCCAGCGATCAGGCGGCAAGTTGCTGTTATGTTCACAGTGAAATGAAGATTTTGCCACTCTATAGTCACGGTAAATTTTTGCCTTATTTCCTTACATGTCATTGCACAGAACTTTTGCCCATTTTTACTTACATGCAATTGCAGTATAAGATATATAGATGGCACAAAAAATTATAATAAAATGAACATCTGGGCTCACACTGAGAATATACATGGACAAAAATAAAATAAAAATACGTATCTAGAGAAAATGATCCATGTTCAGTTTCAAAGCTAATAGTGGAAATTTCAACGCAGGAACTACCAAATTGGACACCTTTAGAACGTCAAAACAATCAAATTATCTATGATGGAACCATAAAGGAGATCCAACTTGGACCATGGTATCAGGCAGGATTTTTAACGAGAGAAAGGAACACGGATAAACTACGTTTCCAAGAAAGGGGATTGTTTTGGCAAACAAAGAACATGTAACAGCATGGAAGGAAAGCCTATGAAGACATAGGTACCAAGGATTAAACATCATGGAAGGAAAGCCTATGAAGACATTGGGCACCAAGGATTAAACAGCATGGAAGGATTAAATCAGTAATACTTTTTAGCATGACTTTTCAGCTAAAATATTTATCTCTGCCGAGAGCTGGTATCTAGGTGGGCCCATTAAGAATGATTGTTGTAACATTTTAAATTATCTAGTAAAACATTAAGCGGACCATTGTTGCAACATGGTTGGAAATGTTTGAAACAAACTAAATCGCTTGTTGCAACATTGAAAAACACATCTCGATCAAAACAAACTAGTAACATTCTGAGAAAAATAATTTTAATAAAATCAAAATATTGTTGAGGCATCTAGTTATAAGTGTTGTAACGATACCCATCTCTATCTCGGAGAGAACATATCAAAATTGGAAAAAGTCTACGTAACCCCTAACTATTCAGGGTGGACTACTTCACCTCCAAACTATAAAACTGAATTTTCTATCCCCTGAACTTTTCAAAACCGGTCAAATAACTCTCCAAGCGATTTTGGATAGTGGTTTTGCTACAGTGACGGTAGTTTGTCTTATTTATTTATTTATTTCCGTTGAATATTTGAAAAATCATAGTAAATCATCATAAATGGAAAATCCAATTTTGTTGGACTCCACATGAGTAGATTTACATAGTGAACATATAATATGGTATGCTTTAGTATAAAGTTTTTGCTGTAGTTTTTCTATAATTAATTGGAATAATTCATAGCTGCAGCTTCTATGATCCAATTGTGGTGATTTTTTTATGGTGGACTAATTATTGTATGCTTGAACTGTAGTAAAATTTTATACTCATTAAATCATATATAACTTAGTTATAGATTTATTTAGGTTTATGCTTGTTAAAACTATGCTTTATCTATAACTAAGTTAATCTATAACTAAGTTATACATGATCCAATGAGTGAAATTTTTACTATAGTTCAAGCATACAATAATTAGCCCAACATAAAAATTTCACCATAATTGGACCATAGATGCTGCAGCTATGAATTATTCTAATTAATTAAAAAAAACATAGATCTAAAACTACAACAAAAACTTTATACTAAAGCATACCATATTATATGTTCACTGTATAGATTTACTCATGTGGAGTCTAACAAAATTAAATTTCCATTTTATGATTTTTCTATGATTTCTATGATTTTTGAAAAATTCAACGGAAATAAATAAAAAAGAAAAAGACAAAACCATCGTTATATCACCGTTCAAAACCGCTTGGAGGTTTATTTGACCGGTTTTGAAAAGTTCAGGGAGTAAAAAATTCGATTTTATAGTTTGGGGATGAAGTAGTCCACCCTAAATAGTTAGGGGGTTATGTAGATTTTTTTATCAAAATTTGTTTATTATGCAATATAACATCTCAACAACATCGGCAAAAATTACGCTCTAGCAGCATCGTCAAACGTCTCGCTATCCCTGTACCGCCCGCCATACTATCTTTTCCACTCACAAATGTGGCGTGCGGTAACGCCTCGCCATCCTCCTCTACCCGAGATCGACAACACAGCTACTGTTGCTTTACCTTATCTTGTGCCAAAAATTCATTCCTTTTCGTAAATTCAAAAGGTGATTACGATAAGCTCCTAAAATGGTGTCTATTTATTGTTGGTAGAGTAAATAAAAGATAAACCATTTTAACTAGATTTAACTTAAAATCTCTTACAACATTTAAATTAAAAATTCTCAAAGTTGACTTTCTTTTAAAATCATTTGAACTTTAAGGTATCAATTTAATTATAAAAAATCGATGAGAAATATATAAATGTATGAATATCAATGAGATAGAATATGGAGAATGGAATTTGGCTAGTCTGTCAGAGACTGCTGGGATATAAAGAAGGAATTTTATGGAATGGATAGCTAAATAGAACTATGAAGGGTAGAATTTGGACAGTATTCTGAAGATGCCATTTCTAGGCCCATACAAATTAGGCCCGCCCTGCTATATGTGTTAGCTTTTGTCTTCGCCTCGGTTTGAGAACCACACTCGTCGGGGCATAGAGAGATTCCGTATGATCGGGAGCACAGAGATTCCGTCGTATAAAAAAAACAGTATGGTGTTGGTATTCGTTCTCTCGCCGCCAGTGGAAGCAGGGGATATATTCGTGTCCTCCGAATCAGTCCTCCCTCCTGCAGTCTCCTCGCCGACAGGGGAAGCCGTGTTGCAAGAAGGGGAATTCCATTGCGAGATCCGTGAACGGTTAGTTTGCAATCACTCTTGACTGTATGTATGATTTCAGATCTTGACGCGAGCTTAGCGCGTGCATATCTTGTGGGCTTAGTGGAGTTCAGAATCCGGGCACGCTGGTTCTGTGTGTAGTGGGTGGAGATCTGATCCACGGATTTCGTGGTTACATTCAATGAGGAGATCAGAAGCTGTATGTTTACTGTGAATCTGGTGCGTTTTGGGGCAGACCATCTGGGTGATTGAGATTTAGACGTGCATCATGTATTCATGTGTGGGATGTTGGCATGTTGCCAGTTCCTCTCAGTGAGCATGTTCTCTTTGCTGTGATGATGGGTTGATATACTTTCTTGCAGGTTCAGAGATGGCAGAGACGGTGTTCACCCCCTCTTTGGAAGGGATGAAGCATGTCAAGGCAGAGAACGGAGTCATTCTCACCAAGCCCTTCCTTGATGTCTGCAAGCAAATCTTGCCTGTCCTCGGTAACTCATTTGCTTCGCTGTCAGCTGCACAGATGTTTTGAAATTTAAGTAGCAGTGGCTGCATTTCTTAATCAGATTTGGTACCATGCTTAGTTCAGAAGTTCAGTGGTGGTGCAGGAGCAATGGACGGGCTTGAGTTATTCTCACAAGACACATGATAGATTGATTGTCTAAACAAGTTTTCTTATAGCTAAGACAAATTATCATTGATGGTTATGCCACATTGGAGACGCACAAGTTTTTTTGACATTCTCTGTGTAATCACCATGATTTGTGCACACATCTGTGCGATACTTGTGTTGATCCTTAAATCAAGCTTCGGTGTTGTTTTAAACCGTGGAAGAGCAAATCATTGAATCTTAAAACTGTGGTTCTGTGTTCCTTTATGTTGAGTTACACTTGTGTTGCTTAAACAATAAACAATTTTTCAATAATTGTCCCTTTAGCCCCTGCTTTTATGAACCAGATAAATTTGGAGCTGCTATGGCAATTGTAAAGAGTGATATCGGTGGCAATATCACAGTAAGCAAATCTTTCTGTATAATTTCTATTATACTAGTATCATTCAAAGGTTATCTTCCATTTTTATGCTGGTAAATAGATGGCAGTGGTGTTAATGTTGTCTTTCAGTTATCTATATTGTGATAATTCATATCGATAGCTACTTTAGACTGATCTGCCTCTTGCTTAGTTCTTTGTCACTTCTGGAGCCCTCGGAGTTCCAAGTTTTTTTTTTAATTTCACTTGACTTGATCCTCTTCCGTCAGAGGCTGGAAAACAAGTATTCTTCAGAACCATCAAAGTATGAACACTTGTACAGCATGGTTCAGGAAGAAGTTCAAAACAAGACCGCAAAAGGTTCCTCAAGCTGCACAAATGGGCTTCTGTGGCTCACGAGGTACTTAGTTTCTTTTTTTGAACTGTTTCTTTTTGTTTTGTCACTTCTCATTGCAACTTGATCAGCAAGGATGTGACTTTTGTTTACTCAAAATTTCGCATGTCAGGGCCATGGATTTCCTTGTTGAATTGTTTCGTAACCTGCTTGAGCATCCAGACTGGACCATGAGTCAAGCTTGCACTGATTCATACACCAAGACTCTGAAGAAATTTCATGGCTGGCTTGCCAGTTCTAGTTTTACGGTAGAATCTTTCACTCTATAATGATCTATACAAGTGTTGAAATTCTATCCACATAAGGCAATCTGTCTTCAGCATTCTTGTTTAAGAAAATATATTCAACATATGAATTGTGGAAATGCGAAGTATAGTTTTCACATAGATTGCCAACCTGAATAGCAAGGCATCAGTGTCACCAACCCAAATCTATTTAAGATTGGTGAAAACCAGAAGTCTTGTGAAGAAAAAAGCAAATAAGACTAGAAGAGGAACTAAAAAGTTTAAACAGGTGTTCTGACAGTTTCTAGCTACAGACGACAAACAACAGATAGCCATTTACTTAATTTGAGCTTTCCCAATGCAAATGTCTAATGAAATCCTGATCTTTTAATAACTGTTGCTTCATTCCTGTGGAAATAGGTCAACGTGCTCATCTTTTAAGATAGTTTGCATACTTTTAGTCAGTATATCTCTTTTATTTGTGCTTTCAGTTTGTTGATTTACTTATATGAGTGATCACAGGTGGCCATGAAGCTTGCTCCTAATAGAGATAAATTTATGGAGGTCATTAGTGGAACTGGTGACATCAATGCAGATATTGAGAAATTTTGCACAACCTTCTCTCCTTTCCTCAAAGAAAATCACAACTTTCTGGTATGGTCTCTCCCAATTTAAGATTCAGCCCTTGTTTAAGATTCAGTTGTTTTTGCTACTTTGGTCTCTTTATTTGAAATAGCTTCAAACATTGACTAATTAGCTTAAAACGCAGGCGAGCGTCGGTCTTGATTATTAGTTTTTCTTTTCGTCTTCATTTAATGCTATCCATGCTGATTACAACAAAATAAGCATGTCTTTTATCCAGAAACAAGGGCTCAGTTGTTTTTTGCTACTTTGGTCTCTTGAAAGGATATAACTCTTCCATGCTGATTACAACAAAATAAGCCATCTTCCCCTTGAAAAACTATACGTGATGGTAATAATTTGTCAGCATGGTTGACTACTTGACCATGGCTACTTACACACAGAATTGACAGTACTCAACAAATTTAGTTTCCAAACTCAGTCCCTTGTTACAGAAAATCTACATATGATGATGTGAAACTCGTGCTGTAATTCAGTTATGGTACCCAGTATGCAGCCGGAGCTTATCACAGTTTGGTTTTCTGTTGCCGCAGGATCATCGTCACTCACTCGTAGGCTTCCCAGTTATTATTATAGACTAGTAGCGCAGCCGGCTGCCCACTTTCAACACAGTTGAACGAGAGCGCCCAGAAATCAAAGACAGACGATTCTCAAAAAAAGAAAAAGAAATCAAAGACAGACAAGGATATTTGTACCACAAGAGAAGAACTAAAGAGAGAAATTGAGTCAACAATGACAATTTAGATAACATACTCCCTCTATCCCACAATAGAAATCATTATGGGATAGGTGTAGGCCAAACTTTCTTAGCTTTGACTAGATTTGTAGAAAATACGTACAACATTTATATTTCTAAATAAGTTTATTATAAAAATATATTCAACGATCTATCTAAAGATACTAATTATATATTATAAATATTAATACTCTTATATAATTGGTCAAAATTTAAAACATTTAACTTTTCGGGAAGCGAGAATAACTTCTATTTTAGGATAGATGGAGTAATCAAAACAAACAGTGAGTGCCTATTTGGATTAATTGGTCCAATATATATTTAGTGACTAAATTTAGCATGGGGAACTGATGACTATTAGCTAGAGTCCGCTTACAATTAACATGCACTAATTGATTCCAATTTCCAACCACCTAATGATATGTTCATCCAAATAGTCGCTGTTAATCACTAGCTAACTAATAGCCAGTAACAATTTGCTATTAGTAGCACTACTGGATTCTGGAACAACCAAAGAGGGGTATATATACATAATTTCTGAACAAAATCACAGAATATGAGCACTGGTCACTTAGCTAGGATTAGCACTAGGATTCCTCAAACAGGCCAACACCCATTGAAGGTTATACATGAATTTCTGAACAAAGATCACAGAATAATTCACCACAATAGCACTGGTCACTGGAGTATTTACAACTACATTTCCCATAATAAGATTGGACCGTTGCACTATAGGTGCAAGTTATTGGATCCAACTATTCGGCTACACCCGCTCAATCACCAACATAGCATCGTCTGTGATTGTACAGTGTCCCCGGGAACTTTGTGACTATTGGTCGTACATCTGATGTTAAGTAAAACTGTTAAAGCTTCAGACAAATTTCCCAAATGTGATGATGATAGACGATGAACAAGCAGAATTTTTCAGTTTCACTTGTGAAGAACACTTCTTTTCTGCAGTTTGATTTTCTTCTGTGGTTCAGTCTGCAGAAAATTAGCAAAATGCACATGAGCAACCTGAGCACTCATATATAAAAGGAACACATGATATGACTATGAGAACTAACCTTTCCCTTCTCCAAAGCTTCAAAATCTATCCTGTTCTTCCATGTGCTCTTCCGTAATTTGATTGGCCGGTTTCCGACATATTTACCTGCATGATTCTTAGTTCTGTAAGTTGCAGTACCTCTGGTAGCCAAAGGATGCATCAAAGGAGCGAGTATTCATACCATTCATCTCCTTCAAGGCTGAAGTAAGATCAGATGCATTAGCAAAACTAACAAAACCATATCCTTTAGTTTTACCAGTCCACTTGTCCCGTATAACCTGGTACAGAAGTGATCAACATTCACTTAATAAAAAATAGAAGATTAAACCTGTTAGGAAGAGTAGAAAATAAGAACAATGTAACTGTATGGAAAAGGTCAAACTCACCCTGGCCATATTGAAGGATGGATATTTTGAGAATGCCTTTGCAAGAACATCATCATTCACTTCATTTCCAAGATCACCACAGAACAAACGAAAATCATCTGTAGATGAGAGATCAAGCAATTGTCAATGAGAGTACTTGAAGTATCCCTAAAGAAACTAACTGAATTGTCATCAGGAAGACTACAAGGTAGAATCACATTTTCAATGCACACTCAAAACTTGAAGTTGTAGCCACTGGGCAGGTGATTGCTAGCAAAACAATTATAGAATATTTAACTATTAAATACTTAAAGAGCTGCATTGACCGAAATGGTGCAAATTTAACAATGCTGACTTTTTTCATATGAAAATGACATCTATGGCACATCTTAGAAATTGTGGACATACATAAATATTGTTAGGTGGATGGACATCATTCAAACTTAAATCAACCATAGGAAGAGTGAAGGAGCAATGAAGAAAGCAGCCAAGACAAAGTTCCTACAGCCAACAAACCAACAATTAACAGAACAAGCATGCCACCAGTCTTACATGACTCTTTACTGGCCAATATGGTGAACTAAGTAATCGAGGGAACATAGCAGTAGGGGGATGTGCTTGTTAATGCATGAAGACACTGAAACCCTACATATATGTTTGTATCAAACATCACTAGAAGAATATGGTATTTCATATAACAGCATAAGCATGTCTAAGATTAATAAAGGCACATGAAAAAATATTGAATTACATGTGACAGATCAGGTAAACATAGGAATTAGGTAATTTGAAAATGTTTAGTAATCATCGCAAGCCCACCTAAATCCCGTGTGGCAATCTGTTGGGCTACACATCACATCCTTGAGCACCTTTAGAGAAAGGAAAAAAGAGCAATTTGTTTCAGATCAAAGCATAATAGATAGAGCATTAGACCTTGCCTGTAAGGCTGACATTTTCTCATGGTTGTTGTCTGCAAGATAATGGACAATAAGAGCTAAAAACACCACATTGCCAAATTATGGATTCCATAACCACAGAATTGGAGCATTTGAGAAACATTGTGAAAAAAGACAATTGAGAATTAGATATCATACTTTCAGGCCAATCAGCCAAGGTAGGGTCCTCCCAACTTTGCCCAGCTGCCTTTCGAGGCACTGCCTTTTTTGTTGCTCCAACCTTCTTATCTTTCACACTATTCGCAATAGCAGCCTTAACAGTAGCTAGAGCTTCAGGAGTAATTATGTTCGAGTCCTTTTGGAACAACTGTTGGGCCTGGAAGACAAAAAAAAAGGCAAATCACTAAAAATTTTCAGCATAAACCATATTTCAAATAGACTTACAGCATAAACATAAACAAAGGAATAAAAAGGATACAAGGATCTTATGAAGCAATGGTATAACGCACTTCTACTGAACCAAAGCTTGCACTTTTAACTTGTCAAGTGTCAACAGGGAAAAGATATCACATGACAATAGCTATTTCTCTTGGAGCGAAGACAGTATGTGAAACCAAAACCACAACTCTCATTTCATTCGGATGTGATGTGAATGGTTCTTGAAAAAGAATCAGCACTAAGACACAGATTGGTTGTTTTGCATACCTAAGTTATCTTGCACAAATAGTTTTATAAAGACCTCATGGCCTAAGAGCTACTACATAACACAGGGAATGCATTGTTAAGAATTGCATCTCGAAATCAATTGTTTAGTTTCCATCGAACATTTTGCAGCTAGATCTTGCAAGGCAATAAATAGTTTCGTCTGAAAGTTACAATGAACTAGAGGGATGTCTGAACTAGGATACATCTTTGTCAGAATCATTAACTATCAAAGGTAGGATAATAATAATATACCTAAAGTCCTACATATATAGTGGCATAACCATCACTAATCAAATGATTTTTATTATGTCCTAGGTGTCTAACCAACCAAACAAGATAGAAGATAGGAGTATTAATAGAATGGCCACATCAAGAAAACACAAAAGTGCAGAGAGTGCTTTCTTCTCCCCAACCCGCGGAGACAGAACGCGTCTTAGCTAGATTGTCCCCATCGGCCATCGCTAAATCCACAATCACCTTTACTTCCGTATACCCAAATAAATTACCAAAAACAACTTGAAACTCTAATCGTAAGGTGCAGCTCGCGTAATATACCTGCTGGATTTGGGGCATGGGGTAGATGGCGTTGTACGCAGGCACCGGCGCCACCGCCGGCGCGGCTGCGGTCCCCGCTGGCCATGCGGCGTACTGCGCGTTCTGGAGGTGGAAGGGCACGGGGAAGTAGGACGGGGCCGTGACCGCGGCCGCCGCCGCAGCGGGGTAGGTGAACTGCGCGGCGGCGGAGGCCGGCGAAATGGACTGCGTCGACATGTGGCGGCGTCGGGGTCGCCCGGGGGGGGACGCGTCTGGACTCTGGAGAGGCCGGATCGCCGGCGGAGCACTGGGCTGGCTACGGCGCTGGACGGTGGCGTGGGGCTGAGGTGCTCGTCGGTTCGGGCGTGTGGTGTGAGGCTGCGGTTGGGATTGGGAGTGTTCCGGGAGAGGCTTGTGTTGTGTTGATGAACCGTGTGAGACCGAATGGTGTGGAATGCTCTGGAAGCGTCTGGCGCGTGCGCGTCGTGCTTGGGAGAAGAAGGCTGAGATTCGCCGGGCGGGGACCGGGCATCTGGGCTGACCCATTGTTGCGGCTGTGGGCCGAAGCAGAAATGAGTTGCGCACCCGTTGGGCCTGTGAGAAGCCGCGCAGTGTGGCAGGCCGTTTCTGTGCGGAAATGGCCGTTCCAAGGCAGATGTGGGCATGTGGCAGTACGGGTACGGCAGTGCCGTTCGCCGCGCGTTCAGATCCGTGCAAATCCAGGCGTGTTGGCTAGCTCTAGGTCCAGGGGCCCGGGCTCGCCGTGTCATCCGATCCAATCCAACTATCCAAGGTTATGCATAGTTGTTGTTCTCAGTTGGATTGGATGAACAATTTGATAAGTAGGAATCTTTGTAAGTTGTGTGCCGGTTTTGGAGGCTTCCCTGCGCACAACCCCCTGTGACTAATTGTTCGCAGGCTACTGCTGATGACATCCACTGACCACTTTGTATAAAATCATGTTCGTTACTCGTGGTGGGCGGGGGTGTCACTGCATGCATCTACAGCTCACATGAACACTGTTGGGAAAATACGTCCCAGAATAGTAAGCTAGAAGCGGAGCCTCCGTGTTGGACGAAGGCTCGACACCGGAATGAATCACACGGGTGGGCCCAAGCACAATTAAGGTTTTATAAGCGGCATTCAACTAGCTCTCTCCTTTACATAGGGTTTGGTTCCCATTTTATATGGCACTATTCACAGGAGTACCATTTTACATCATTGCCCTATGCCAACTAAGGCATATCCCTCAGAATATGCTCGTACAAGTGTACTCCTCCAGGGTCATTTTGGGTCTTCTCTCTTGCCAACCGCCTTACTCTATGGGCCTTATCCCCTGTCCACTGGAGGCCCATCTAATGTTCAGGATATCTGCGTCATGGAAGACCCATCTTCGATCGACGGAGGCCTCTATCGCGTCTGCCGCCTTCTGAGTCTTCCCATCCGCCTTCGCCTAGGCGACCATCCTCTTTGCCTTGCGCCGAGCCTGCGCCACTCGAGGCCTTCGCCGCCGCCCTTGTGTCTTCGCCCTAGGTGCCGCACTAGAACCGGTGCCTCCGGGGACCTTCGCCATTACCCTTGGACCCTCTCGCGTGTCCAGGGGGCGCTGGCAAAGGCGTCCTGTGTGATCCCTGCAAACAGTTTCTCATGTGATACGCACTGTTAGTCTTTTCTGGTTAGAGTGGTGCTTAGCCTCCGCGACTGATATATCTGTGTCCCAACAAACACATTGCCTAATAGGTTTTTTGCTTCAAGTTATTGAGAATGATGCTTTTATTATTTAAATTAAAGACCAGGTAAAGTGCTTGAGTAGTTGAGTGCAGTATATATCATGCGTGTTTCTGCCAGGTTTAACTTTTGGCGTTAAAAGGAAGAAACAAGACGAACGTATTACGTACTGAAGCTTGATATGCATATGCATGCAGCAGCTGTCCGGCCGTCTCATGAATGCATGATCGGTCTGCGGCCTTCTCCCAACCATAATAAACTACGTACTGTACTATAGCAGTATAGCTAAAGATGTTCCTTGGACAGTACTACGCATGTATTTTCCTAGACAAATGATCTTATTACGTCGATTATGCATTCGCAACTCATCAGCCATGGCCCGCGTAATAAGTAATTAAACTGAACTGAGATGTACCCGCGCGCACGCACTCGTTGCATACTGTAATTATACCGCATAATGCAGCACGGGAAATGTCGCCGCTACGGCTGCAATTGCGCCACACGCGAACTCGAATGCGATGTCTGATCACCGATCCAAATCATATGTGTATGCACCAACTCATTTGCAATGGGCCAACACATCCGCTTTCAAACCAGGTCCCAAGTGGCCATGGCCCTTTGGCGCTATATATGTATGTATGCCAAGACATAGGGGAAGTAGTGGTACGGTGTCACAAGATAACTGCTCGATCGTAGTTGATTACTTGCAGCTATATATATGCTTTGCATCTGGACGTACTTTCACCAAGTTAATTAAAGATTATTGCTTCGCTAGGATCAAGTTGTGGGAAGATAGCAATAACTCCTAGACGCCACAGTGGAGCTGGGGCACCGTACCACAGAAGATCCTTCGTCCCGTGAATACAATCCCCCACCCCCGGCCAGTGACGACGATCGACGTATGCACATCATGGGTAGTACATTCGTCAAGATACATGTGTATATTGATCCAGCAACTTGGTGCAACTTGGTCACAGGGAAAGTACTTGCCTGTCTAAAAACAAACGCATGCAGTTTCGTCCCAAGATACATGCACTTGCCCTCGAGGACATGAGATATGTGACAAATAAAGCCAGTTGGTCTGGCTATGCACTTTGTACCCTGGTCAGAGTTCGAACTCCCTCAGGAGCGGATTTGTTAGCTGAAGGAGGTGCAATTTATCTGCGCGTTGAAAAAAAAAATCCTCTCGTCTGTCCCACGTCAAAGCAGAAGTCTAAGACCAGCCCCTTAGACAGTCTAGTCCCACGGGAGCTGCGGTCAATGGCAGAGCCACCCTAGCGGCGGGGTGGGGCGGCCGCCCCAGCTACTGGCGAGCTCGTCCAAGACCCCCGGACCCCTTCTTCCTTAACACCGGTGTCCACCACGAGCAGGATGCAGCGACCTGCGCCGCTCGAGCGTGGAAGAAGAAAGCAGAGGTGAGAGGATAAACGAGCACATAATGGGCCTTTTATTTACTTTGTTCAGCCCAACAAATGTGAGACCGTGCCCTTGAAAGCCCACCATCTCACACAAGCACACTCCTTCCCTAACCGGTGGATTCGTTCACAAATTCCAAATCCCCCAATCGTGACCTGCAGCCAAGCTCGCGAGGAGCTGGTCGCTGCCCGCCGCCCAAATGCCCGCCGGCCACTGCGGCTCCACCTCCGCGCCGACTGCCGAGTGTGGACCGTCGCGCGATCGCCAGATCGCCTGCCGCCTCCCGCCGCTCCACATTGGCCGTCGGCGTCGCCAGCTTGCCCCCAGACCGCCCTCTGCGGCCCCCGCCCGCCTCCCACCGGTCGGCCAAGACTCTAGGAGGCAGGAGCTGCTCAACTGCTACTGCTTTGGCAGCTCTGTTGCGAGCCTGCGATGGAGGGAGGAGAGGAGCAGCTTCACTAGGAAGCGTTGCTTTTGGGTAAGCGTGATTGATGATTGTGTGGTACTCTCCCTAAGCATTGTTCTGTTTGGTGCTTTTGATTAGGATGTAGCTTGTGTATAGAGTTCGCCCCAGCTAAAAAAATTTCTGGCTCCGTCATTGGCTGCGGTGCCGCTGTGTATAGATAGGGCAAAGGTTCAGGGATTTTCTCGACTTGTGTGGGAATATCTTCTTTTTAAGCACAATGCTCGAGGGCTGTCTTACCTCCGCGGGTCGAGTTTTTTTTTAAATGTCCACTTCGGAAATAATGATATAACGGAGACAAATATTCAGACGTTGGCACTTGAGTATACACCAACGTTGTTTCCTCCCGCGGGGATAGATATATTCTCATATATAAATAAAGTTCCTACATATATAGATCTATTTACAAATTGATTGAAGATCGACGTACGTGGATCTTGTTTATTGGCACGACACTAGCTAGACGCAATTAGCGCGATCGAATCCGTGTTGCCCTGTCACAAGATCGCCTACTTTGTCGCGCAAAGCCGGCTCGGATTCTCTTCACTAGTAGAAAACAGACCTTTCATCCGAGGCTAAAATGGGCTCTAGTCCCGACATTTTTTGCGCCCGGGACTAGAGAGACCTTTAGTCCCGGTTGGAGCCACCAACCCGGACTAAAAGTCCTCAACCTTTAGTCCCGGTTGGTAACACCAACCGGGACTAAAGGTAGACCCTTTAGTCCCGGTTGGAGCCACCAACCGGGACTAAAGGTCCCCCGATGGGTTAGTTTAAAAGGGAAGCATCTCATCCATTGTCAGATGTGTTGTGTAGGTGGGGTGGTAAGCTACGTGCGAGGCAATGCATGAGGTCTTGGGTTCGAATCTCATAGGACGCAGCGGTGTGAGGTATTATTTTTTTTAAAGCTGGGAGGACCTTTAGTCCCGGTTGGTGTTACCCACCGGGACTAAAGGTCTCGGTTTCTGACCCGGGACTAAAAGACCCCTTTAGTCCCGGATGCTTACTCCCGGGTGGGGAACCGGGACTAGAGGGGGTTTCTCACCGGGAGTAAAGCCCATCTCTGTACTAGTGCTGGTAGCTAGTAAAATTTCCCGCGCTTCTCGTCCTCATCTACTTGCTTTTTTTTTTGAAAGAGATCTACTTGCATTTGCATCTGGTGAGACCTCGGCATAGTAACCGCTCTGTCCTAATCGGTCGCGACACAACGTACGCACGCACGCGTGGTGGCACCTCGCTAGCTAGCTCCTCGCGCGCGCTCACCATCTCATCTTCTCGGCCAAGCGTGTTGCTTCATCAGCTGGCTGATGATGGCATATTGGCACCGGTGACGCCTAGCTAGCTCGACTGCACCGGGCCCGGCTGGGTCACGCGCGCATCTATCCCGCTGCAAGAAGGATCGGAGGATGCACGCATGGCCATGGACACGGCGGAGAAGACGAACGAACTTCCTCGATAAGGAACCGTTGATATAACAAGGCGGTTAATCAGTCTCAGTCGTGAGAGATTCAATTGGGTTTCATGATTAGAAGAGAGGCGACGTACGATTCACAAGCTAGGTTAATGTAGCTTGTTGCCGCAACAACAAATCCATGTCTATCTGTCACCAGTCCCCTGTCTGTCACAACTCACA